ACTAGGCTGCCCTGCAGATATTAGGCTACAATATGCAGATTTAAATATACCATTTATCAAATAATCTGTTTATTTTTAGGTTACACATTACATTGTTTAAAAAATAAAAATCAAATGTGACCCGCTCTGGCGAAATGAGTCGGAAGTTGCAACCTTCCATTTTAAGATATGGGCCGATTATGTGGAAAAACCATGAAATAACAAAAAAAAAAAAATAATATATATATATATATATATATATATATATATATATATATTTTGCTAATTTCAAAGAACAGACATTCAAAAATAATCTCACAGGGTTTCGTAGTCGAGATAATTGAGTAAAGGTATTTAAATAACGATTAAAGTTGTCAAAGCTTTAAATTAGCTGAAATAAACATTGCTCTTCTCAACTCCCCTCGTCACCTCTGAGCATTTCCCGGGTATCCCCTGAAACGTTGAACTCACTGGAGGCTTCTAACCTAAACTGCGTGAGTATATTTATCTGCAAGAAGAATATAGCCTATGTAAGGCTGTAACGATCGCGACACTCAGATCCACGAACCTGTGTCGCGGTGTGAGAAGACAGAATCACGACACCGACACGTCCCTTCAACTCCCGAAGTTATCCTTCACGTCCAGACCCAATGCTAGCTACAACATCTTTAAATTACTATTAGTATTATTTGAAGTTAACATTAGCCTATAAAATACGTAGACTTACACCACAAAACTTAAATTATTACTAATTTTTTTTTAAATTGGGCAATTTCAGCATCCAATTCCCAGATAATTAAATATTTTAATAAATTGGCCTATGTGAACCACACTGCACAAACCAAAAGTAATACTCACCGGATGAAGAAGGGTTGACTCTCTCCAGAACATAAAATCTTTATTTTATTTTCCGTGTTCGCATTTATGAGGAAAAACAATCCGAACGTGACCGTTCTCTGGAAGCAGCACTAAAACTTTCACATAGCTTAAACATGCAAGCACAAAGCCTTTCTTTAAAGTAAATTTCGTTTTAAAATAATTATCTTAATTTAAATCAATGTTTCATCAACCAATTACTAGGATTTAATAATAAGAAATAAATTGCAGACAATAGGCTAGGCCTAATCACGACGCGGAGACGCGCGGCACGTGAACTGAAGCTTGTCTCATGAACCGAAAGTCAGCGTATAAGGTATCCTCACAGACATATATATTGAAATGTCTACTTTTAAACACAACCATTCAAAATGAAAGAAAACAGACTGCTCTCTGCTTATGTGGGCTAATCCGTATGAAAACTGAATTTCTCTCTGACTCCTCTTTAATCTTTCTGATTTTAGAACATTTTTGTAAAAGTGACTTTTTAATTATTTATTTCAAAAAAATTAAAAATAAGTTGAGTTTCAGCCTCGTTAAATTGCATTTATATGTTAATCTATTTGGTCAAATTAAGCTATATAAAATAAATAGTTTATCCCTTAAAATGCTATGGATTTTGAAAGATATCAAAAAAAAAAAAAAAAAACGGGCAAAAAAACTTTAAAAGCGATTTTCTTAGGTTTTCAATTGGAAAAAAAGGGCAGACGACCAGAATTCAAATCTGTATATCGTTACAACCATTCAAGGTATGACCAAGGTATCATTTGAAAGCTTACAGTGTCCTCTTTCCATTAATATCAAAATCTCAATTTTTAAATTTGGGTCACTGTGACTAATTTTGCTGGATCAGTTCGGTCACAAATGTGTTTTTTATTGTAGTATTATTTTATACAGAAATACATTATAATTATATATAATATACAAAATATAACCGTGGGCGCGATTAAACAGTGTTACAATAAAACTCAACATTGTGTTTTTTAAAAATAAATTCAAATAATACAAATCCCGAAATTGCGCTAATTTTAAAATTAAACTAAAACTCATGGCTGCACAAGCATTCATAACTGTGCGCGCCAACAGCGAGGAACCAGCAGAACAGAGTGAACGTTCATTCTGTTTAGTTCAATCCTACTTAATAGGAATTTATTTAAAATGCTCGCTCTACTCCACAACATTAATGTCTTGTGCGGATATCTGTATTTTGACTTTCGGTTTTAAGTAAGCGATTTAAAAGTTCCCGAGTCCCAGCGGAGTCACACGTTGATTAACCGGTGGGAATATACACAATAGGCCTACCTGATATTGAACACAAGAGGGCAGTATAGCACTACGTATGACTCAGATTATTTTTTCTTCTTCTGAATTTTAAAACCATTCTGGCTGTTTTTGAACGTAAACATAATTCTTAAATGAAAAAAGGGAAAAACTGGTTTAATTATAATATTTGTATAATTTAATTTAGAAACAAATGATGTATAATTACATTTTTAGAAGATATGAGGCTTTTAGTGTTTACTGTTTACTTTTTTGACATTACTTTAATCTTTTGCCAAAGTTGCACATGCCTACTGGCTAATAAATGTGATGTATCTGTCGAGCTATCTGTATCTATCTGTTTCAAGCAATTTTAAGCATGCTAAGAGTCCCAAAAGTATCAAAAAAGAATGTTAAAGTTTGATTTGTTGCCACAGCAACAGTATCAAAGATATCAAGAATCCATTCACAGGTCTACATCTGCTGTATTTTTACATTATACAGATGAAGTTTGAAGCAAATCGGTTAAAAATAAGAGGGTGATATCAAAGCAGTTTGAAAGTGACACACTTCCTGCTGCCAGTTGGTGGCGCTATAACTCTGACTCACAATAGTCACATCCATGTGATCGTCCTCTTACAGCGAACACACTGCTGAAGTTTCATCAAGATCAGTTAATCTATGCTGAAGTTATAACACACTTCCTGTTTCACGTTTCTCGCCATAATTTTGTTTCCTCGCCACGGCCAAACCGTTCGAGATATCAAAAATCCCCTCGCAAAATTTCATCCTCAATGCCTTGACTTCATGCTGACCGAGTTTCGTGCCGTGTGTTTGAATTCTCTAGGAGGAGTATTGCACATTCCATTGCGAGCGTTTTACAAACAAACCTCAATAGCCGACTTCCTGTTGGGCTGGGGTAAAAAGTAAGAGCGTGAGGTATAGATGAAACGATGAGATCAACATGTGTACCGAGTTTCATATTATTACATTCATTCAAGCGTGTTTGATTTATGGACCAAGTGTTCGGACCCCGTTCCAGGGGGCGCTGTCTAGCCCCCCTGCCACACCCAGGTACCATCTTCAGCCCGGCTCTGATGGCTGTGGGATCTGACCTGTGTGCAAAGTTTCAAGAGTTTTCAAACCCGTTAAGGGCCCCAAAAGCCGCTAAGAGTCTCAAAATCATAAAAAAAAAGAATTTTAAAGTTTGATGCGTTGCCACGGCAACAGTATCAAAGATATCAAGAATCCATTCACAGGTCTTCTTCTGCTATGTATTTACATTATACAGATTAAGTTTGAAGCACATCGGGTAAAAATAAAAGGGTGAGTTCAAAGCATTTTGAAAGTGACACACTTCCTGCTACCAGTTGGTGGCGCTATAACTCTGACTCACAATAGTCACATCCATGTGATCGTCCTCTTACAGCGAAAACACTGCTGAAGTTTCATCAAGATCAGTTAATCTATGCTGAAGTTATAACACACTTCCTGTTTCACGTTTCTCGCCATAATTTCGTTTCCTCGCCATGGCCAAACCGTTCGAGATATCAAAAATCCCCTCGCAAACTTTCATTGTCAATGCCTTGACTTCATGCTGACCGAGTTTCGTGCCGTGTGTTTGAATTCTCTAGGAGTAGTACTTCAAATTCCTTTGCGAGTGTTTTATGAACAACCCTAAGTAACCGACTTCCTGTTGGGCTGGGGTAAAAAGTAATAGTATGAGGTATATATGAACGATGAGATCTATATGTGCACCGAGTTTCATATTATTACATGCAAGCGTGTTTGATTTATGGACCAAGTTTTCGGACCCCGTTCCAGGGGGCGCTGTCTAGCCCCCCTGCCACGCCCGGGTACCATCTTCAGCCCGGCCCTGATGGCCGCGGGTTCTGACCCGTGTGCTAAGTTTCAAGAGTTTTTGAGCATGTTAAGGGCCCCAAAAGTGCCCGAATAGTCGTATAAATAATAATAATAATAATAATAATAATAATAATAATCCTAAGGAAAACAATAGGGCCTTCGCCCTTTCAGGGCTTGGGCCCTAATAATAATAATAAAAGAATTTCTTTCATTTTAAATTAAACACAAATTATCATCCCAGGATTAGCGAAGTTATTGCACTATTGTGGCTCTATAAAGTGATAAATTGAACATTGTCACTACAGACAAAAAGAATATTTTAACAATATCAGAGCAACATTTGTTCTGTCTGCAGTTACTGAATGCTAATATTCTAATCTATACGTGTATTTTATATATGAAATATTTTTGAGTAATTGTGATTGTAATTATTGCCTTTTGATATATTGTTTGGACCCCAGGCGTCAGCTAATGGGGATCCTTTTAAATAAACAAATAAACAAATAATGAAATCTCTTTTTATAACTTCACATTACATAAACAGACTACACAAAGCAGTCAATCTGAATCTGTTCAGGCATTCAGATAAGCAATCTTTTGGCTTTCCTATGCATTTATTATTCTGTACACCTTACGCTTATCATTAGCAAACAATCACCCCAATCCCAATGACTTCATCACGACTGTTCACATCCATCTCCCGGGATTTAAAGTTCCCCTCCATCCATCCGCTCCGAGTCTCATTCATACGGCAGCGACGTAGAGCACAGTACAGTCAGTCCATTCATACGGCAGCCATTTGAAACACACACACACACACACGGCGCACTACAGGCAGCACACAGCCTCCCAAACTCAACGTCAGAAGGTACATACTGTACAACCAGACATATGATTGCATTAACACATAATATAGCTGAGAGCCCTTTACGATAAGATCCTGAGCTCTGCAGAAGTGGATGCGAGTGAAATCTGGTAATCAAGCAGACTAACTAGTAATCATCTTTGTTTGTTTGTTTTACCTGAAGCTGCAGGTCTCCTCTGTGAGGCTGAGAGCGAGTGAGTCATAGCGAGAGAGCCACTGAGAGAGAGAGAGAGAGGCTGAATGTATGAATGAGCTGCCGTAGTCTAGCACGGTATAACCGTGAGGCAAAGGGGAGGCGAGATTACGCTTCACGCACGGTGGATGGACAGAAGTGAGGAGGCAGATACCGCTTACGTATCAATGCCAAAATGTGTCATTTATTTTCAGGTAGGGATCAAAATTGACCATGTTTAATTTTTTAACACATCATCTGGTATTATATACAACAGTGCATGACAATTTAGGCCATCCTTAAAAACTATTTTGGTTTGCAGTAATAGTAAAAAAAAAAAGAAAAAAAAGGGGGGTAGGTAGGTAGGTCTATTTATTATTTTTTCTTCAAGGTTCAATGTAAAACAAAACAAAAAGGACAATTTTGGTCATGGTGATAATGATTTTAAACAATTTTTTGCATATTGTGACGTCACTGACTGGGCCTTCAAACCGTGCCGCTCACTGCAAAAAAAATATTGTTGGTTTAACTTACACAAGTAAGTAACCTAGTTGCCTTAAATGTAGTTGTGTAGAAATGTAGAAAAAGTAGTTAAGTAGTTTAATCATCAGAAACTCAAAATAATATGTTATCTGAACTAAATAAATTATTTAAGTTTATTTGACAAAAGAAAAAATGTTGTGATTATTAATCATGAAAAGATTTTTTTCTCCTTCATTTTTTCTGATTTTTTTTACCGGGACGCCTAACTTTACTTCACTATATTTCTATTAAATCCTAATCTAATTATGACAAATTATATATTGTTGGAAAGGTCTAAGAATTCTGAAAAGATATTCTACCCCTGTTTTGTGTTAAAAGTAATTGATGAATTTATGACAAGAGTGCACCTCAAAAAATCTGCATCATAACAGGAGTTTTGACCTTTGTTACAAAAAGTCGATGCACCCACTTTATAAAAGAACTAGCCTATAAAGAACTTCTGTGCCAAATGGGTTCTTTCAGTTCATTATCATCATTTTTTTGCATAAAAGGTCCTTTGCAGTTGAGTAAAGAACCCTATGCTACATATACAGAACCCTTTTTTCTAAGTGTATAGTCACTGCACATTAACCCTCCTCTTATCCTTGGGGTCAATTTGACCCCATTCAATGTTTAACATCTGTAAAAACATATTTATTTATTTTTTTTGCTTCAGGTTTTATGACTTTTCCTAATTTAATGGGGACAACTCTGTAAACATAAAATTAACCTGCTAATATATTTTTTCAAACTCCTGTACAAATTTTGTAGCATCGGTGATCCTTGGGGTCAATTTGACCACAGGCTCTTTTAGTTGTATAATACAACATAATAAATATTAAAATTTCACACACATTTGTTTTGGTTGTTATATTGCGGTCATTATAACATGTTATACTTTGAATTTATAATGTTCATTGTAATTTTACAATTCTCAAGATAACTAATAATTCTTTCCTGTGCATTGGGGTGGGGAAAACATCATTTTTGTGAGATTGACCCCAAACATAACTCGTGTTACTATCCTTGATAAAATAAATAGCTTTTCTTTCCAAATGTTATAGATTACAAAAATCTATACTTAGAAATATTATAAAACAAATAAAACACCAGATGTATTTATACTTTTCCAATTTTAGGTCAAATAAGTAAGATTTTATGTTGATTTGTAAATTTGTCTATAGTCGTGCAATGGGTATTCTGGATGTATAAGGGGTTAGGTGGGGTGGGGAAGGGTGGTGGTGGTGGGTGGATGTCAACTTAAAACGTTCCTTAAGTAGTCAATAAAGACATAAATTAACTGAGACAAACCTAAATAAAAAAAATAAACATATTGTGGAAGTTTAAATTACTGGAGTCAAATTGACCCCAGAGGGTAAAAAGTGTTACCAGATTTGAGGGTAACAGGAGGGTTAATAAAAAATGTATAAGACCTGTACCAGCTCTCTCCAAAGAAAGGATCAGAATACATGTACACAGAGTTACTCAACATTCAACCTGTCCTTGCCTGTCACGCCACATTAGACTGGAATATCAGTGATTCTCTGTCTTACCAGTGTCCTCCAGCTGGGTCTGTCTGAAAATCCTGAGAGAAAACTCTGGCCTCAATGTCACCTGCAAAACAAAGATGGACAATCACTCACTCACATAGTCTAAACCAGAGGATTACAATTTATTTTTACTTGGTAAATGCCCCCATTATTAGCATTATACGCTAAACAGGGTTTAAAGATAAAACTCTTTACATTCGATCATCATGAAAACAAATCTCAGAGAACGGTTGACTAGGTACCCATGTTTTATTCATTTTGCACCGGAGTTCTCCTTTAACGTGTATACGTGTGTTTGTTAAAGAGTGTAAAATGTGTATGTGCCATTAATTTACAATAAATGAGGGTCTTTCATTTCCCTGTAAGCATCCAGAGGGACACCTGAGAGAGCTAAAAGAAGAACTCGTCTGGGGTGGGGAACACTCGCATACACTAATACATGAAAATATGTACACACACTTATACAAACAGCCTTAAAACTAGGGCTATGATGGTCTTCCCAGCTAATGCAACAAGAAAACCATAGACTGGACCACTCCTTCAAATAAAAATGTGATCTGAGAAAAGGTCCAGAAGTACACGCTGGGACTCCTGCACTTCAAACATATGTCTGCAGCCACAACATACTTTGTGGTGGGCTTTTCTGGAAGATGTGTTATAAACAGCACTGTCTGTAACACTGCCAATATTTGTCCAATAGTAATATAGTCTCTCTTGGAAAAGGTGAGCTCAGCATATTATTGTCACTGCTGTTAAAATGCTGTCACAAAAAGTTTGGATCTTGGCAGATGAAACCAAGATGGGTCAAACCAACCAGAAAGAAAATGCATCACATATGAGTCACCACCTTACTTCCAGTAACACCCGAACAGTCTCATTCCTGACTCGCTATTACGGTTTCTTGTGTTGCTTACTGGAAAAGCCCTCGTTATTTTCTACCCAAAGACGATTAGCGTCTTTACAGTGTCTAAAGTTAGTGTAGCGACTTGTAGGATGAAAATCATTCAAATGTTTTTGGAAATGTTACATGGTAGTTCTCTGACTAAGATTAAAATGTTTTAGATGGAAAAGAGGGAATCACTTATTTCATTAAAAAAAGAGTGGCTGAGGCGGATTAGAATGGTGGATTTGTAATGGATTATAAATATAAAAAAGAACATGGGTTCTACTTTGGGTTTTGTTTCTGTCATGTGATCTTCCATTGTCCGTTTTGTCATGTTGTCTTTGTGGAGTATTGTTCACTCTTAGAAGAAATGGTTCTATTTAGAACCAGAAATGGTTCCATCCCCCGCTTCATATATAGAACCATTTTTTTTTGTTGGTAAAAGGTTCTATTGGCCAAATACGGAACCCCATGGTTCTATATAGAACCCAGAGGAACCCTTTTTTAAGAGTGTATAGAACCTTTTAGGGGTTCCAAAAACGTAGCGCTGATAGAACCTTTTCTTCTAAGTGTGTTTGTTCTATGCTCTGGCTCCAGTTTCTTGTGCATTAGTCTTGGTTTGTGTGCCTTATTTTAGTTTAGAGTTTTCCATGACTTGTCATGCTTTTGTTTTGGGATTATCTTCTTTTTGGTAACAAATTGTGTTTGGGTTCTCACCTAAAAGGTTAATGCTCATTTGAAAATGAACATACCACTTACATTAAGCACATCCTAAACCTAACCGGTTGTGTTAACAAAACAACACGACATGAAATAAAAGTGCATGTTCTGACCTAACCTTGACATTTTAGCTTGCTTCTAAGCTTTTGCAGAGCTCAATGCTGTCCCTGGAACGTTTTCTACGTCAGAAAAGCCACACTGTAAAAAAAAAATATTGATGGTTTAACTTAAAAAAGTAAGTAACTTGGGTTGCCTTAAAATTTTAAGTTGATTGAAGTGGAAAAAGTGAGTTAATACAATGAAGGAGATTAATTTAACCATCAGAAACTCAAAATAATAAGTTATCTCAACTAAATAAATTATTATAAAGTTGATTTGACAAAAGAAAATATGTTGTGATAACAAATCTTGAAAATATTTTTTACAGTGCATAGATAAGAAGCTGGTGATTTGATGTTTGGAGGTCATAGCATAGTAAATATTGTGCAAACAGTTGTTGGGGTTTGTTCATTTCAGCTGGAAACTACTGTGAATCGTGTATGTAGGTAAAAAATGTATGTAGACGAACTTCTTCCAGTGAGCATAGGGTGTTAACTGGTGTTACCAGCAACAATTTAAAATGAAACGAAGAAGCTAAAAATCTGTTCTATAACAAAACAAGTCCAATTTTTATTATCCTGGATTTGTGAGGAGTGAGTTTTATTATGAAAGGGACAATGGCGGCACCCCATGAGAGCAGCGCAGGCAAACAGATCAGTTCTGATAGCAAGGTGATGTCATGCGGAGAGGGACCAGACATGTGTTCTCTCATTTCACCCACACTCAATCAAGAGACTTCCAAATCCCCCCTGCCCTCAAATCTATAGCATTCGTACATAGATACGACACTTTTAAGAAATATGCCTCAAGAAAAACAGATTTAACAGCAGATATGGCCTGTTGAGGCATCTGTGAATGTTCATTTGGACATCTGACAGCTAAGCAAGGTTTAACACTTTAATTAGAAACGGTCAGGAAAAAATGTAAATGAAAAATCTACATGTAAGTGACTTGTTTTTGTTACTTGTTATTTTGCACTTTTTATTTATTATTATTTCAATATTATTATTTTGTTTTGACACTTCAATTCCAGTAGTATTCTTAAGAGAAAAATTCATTGTCATTTGAAATGGTGGTTATATTATGATTACATATTCAGTGGCATAAAATATTCTGAAAATGAGAATAGTAGTTTTGATGACAGGCCTAGTCGAGCCCCATTGTTCTCAACGAGATGTGCTTCAGCACCGTGGACAGGGGCAAAGCAGGCGGGCCGAGGACACAACACGCACATTAAACCACTCCTGAATCACAACAGGAAGTCAAGGAGCACCTCTTTGGATTAAGTCGAGGTCCTCGAACCTTTATAATGCATCTAGCTTTAATCTTATACACAAAACACAACAATCAACAATAATACAGATAGAAGCTGCAGATTTCCATGTCACAATCTGGACTGGACTAATAATCTGCATTAAATGCTTCTTAAGGCGAAGGCAAGAAGATAAATATATACTCTGAATGGCAAACAATGAGATACAGAAATAAATCAGTACTAATACACCTTGACATTAGTGTAAAAGCTCGATCAAAATATATATTTTTTTTTAATTTCGCTTAATAAATAAAATAAATAAAAGTTTAAATATCCGAGCAGCGGTATAATACTGCTATCAAATTAATTTCAATAAAAATAACACCTTTAATTTCTATTATAAAGCAGCTCTCAATTGTGTTCATGTTTTTGTCAAAGTAGAACCGCAAATCCCACCTATTTCATAATTGCCATGGACCAATAAGGTGTTTATATATATATATATATATATATATGAAGAGTTCAGATGCAAAAGCCTCTAAGTGCCATTTGAAATTTTCTTCTTTAATGATGATTTTTATCAAACTTATATATTTAAGTTCAGTGATTTCACTTAAATGGCAATGATAATTACCTATTAATTGTTATTTAAGTAAAATTACTGAACTCAAATTATACAAGTTTGATAAAAATCATCATTAAAGAAGAAAAGTTCAAATGGCATTTAGAGGCTTTTGCATCTGAACTCTTCATATATATATATATATATATATATATATATTTAAAATATATCTGTCAAATGTAAAGGCTTAAAGGTGGGGTAGGTCATTTGAAACCCTCATTACATCCTGACAGCAATCAATAATAGAAGTGGTTTTAATATTAAAACATATACATAATGTATATCTCCTGTGTTCATCCAATCATTGCATTCAGTCCGTATGCAAGTATACATATCCTGCCTGTACTTATGTATCTCCATACCAACTGTTACATTTCCCCCTAAACAAAAAAAAAATGCCGTCCGAAATCTCCACTCAAACCACTAGTCCCTATGTAGGGGGTAGGGAGTAGAGCACTATATAGTGAGCTCACCAGCATAATAGAAACACCACTTTCGGACACTACTCGATCGTCTCTCGGTGCCGTTGATTACATCATCTGTCAGCTGGTGCCGAGCCGGCTCTTAGATTTTTTAAAATAAATACATTACATTATATTGAGCTTATTTTTAGTGGGTTAGTGACCATCGGTTGTACACACTACTTTTCAAAATGCATTCTGTGGACTATATAGGGTATAAAAAATAATCACTATACATTAGAGCCCGACCGATAAAGGATTTTGAAGGCCGATACCGATACAAATATTTTTGGGTTTTAAAATCCGATATTTCGATATATATCGGCCGATATTTTATTTATTTATTTTTTTAAACTGGACATGATAGTCACAAATTTTGTCATGTTTATTTGAGTTAAGAGAACTGATGGGGATGTTCTTTTAATTGTTATTCAAGCGATGTATGTCTCGTGACCAACTCAACGAGTGTTGCCAACAGGAACGGTGTAGAGTGCCCTCTGGTGGACAAACTATACAACTCCAACACTCATGACATGATTGAAGCGGGTTTCGTCCGTTTTTATTTTATTTTTGAAATATTCATTTATCGGCCATTATAACTGCCGATACCGATAGTTTGGAAAATGCCTAATATCGGCCTACTGATATATATCGGTCTGGCTCTACTATACATTTGGACAGCACTACAAAATGGCGAGCTCACTATATAGTCCACTAGTATATAGTGAGTAGTGGGTGATTTCGGACACAGCAAAAGAGATAATAGTCTGTTGTAACCGTAATTACGAGATTGCAACCAGGACCTGTTCACGTTCACGAGTTTCTATGTCAACACTATCAATGCCGAAATGAATCTGCAGCAGTCAGGTGGTATAAGTAAGAGCTCTGCAAGTTGTTTATGTTCATTATTATTCTAAAGTGAAGTGGTTTGAGACACGAGATCCCTCATCTCTCATGTGTTCACGTGTTTTGGAGAGGGCGTGGCTTTGTAGACGCTCTGAAGGGAGGGTGGGATCTTATGCTT